GGATCTGTGGTCATAGCGCAACGCCCACGAAGACCAGAGTGAATGATCTTTGGCTACAACATAGAATCAACTTTGCATTCTCCGTGTTATAGTACTAAGTAATAAACACAAAGACAGAGAACCCCCAAACGTCCAACACACGCACCGCTACCTCACCATCACAACTAAACCACCCCATTCCATCCAGGCGAGCAGCATACGGAATTTGCTGGAAAAAACTGATCGAATACCTTAATGAACTATCATAATAGTAACGCCAGCTTTTTGGAATGATCAGAGACATTTCTCTACAGAACTCACACAAAACTAGAGATGTTGGTTTCGTATTTAAAAGATAACACAAAAAGAGATATATGAGCGCCGTGAGATCCTGTATAAAAATGGTGTGTGGGTGAAAGCATCATCACCATGGCGACATCCTGAGCCACCACTTTCTGAAGAGCATTCAATTCTGTTGCCTGTTGCTTTGCAGCAGCTTCCAGCCGGACAGCGTATCTCTATCTCCACTAATAGGAGACGTAACATTGGAACTCTGCATCACATGTATTCATATACTACGTGTACACGAAACATTTCCAGAGAATACTTTTTAACACAGTTATAAATATAATAAAGTATTTCTGAGTTGTTTTCAAATCAACTCTTATCTTTCACTCCTGTGTGTGTGGGTGTGGTGTGTGTGTGTGTGTGTGTGTGTGTTTGTGTGTGAGAGAGAGAGAGAGAGAGAGAGAGAGTGTGTGTGTGTGTGTGAGTGAGTGAGCGAGTGAGTGCGTGTGCGTGTGCGTGTGCGTGTGGAGAGAGAGAGAGAGAGAGTGGTTGTGTGTGTGTGTGTGTGTGTGTGTGTGTGTTGTGTGTGTGAGTGAGTGAGTGAGTGAGTGAGTGAGTGAGTGAGCGTCGTGCGTGTGTGTGTGCCGTGTGTCTGTGTGTGTGTGTGTGCGTGCGTGTGTGTGTGTACATACCTTTGCATAGTTCCTCCAGCTGTTGATGGTGGTATCAGAAAGCTGCCGAGGCTAACAGCGCCTCCTGTGTTTCTGAACAGCGGCTGAGAGCTCCTTTTCCTCTCAATCCCAGACTGCTCTTAGACTGTTAATGCGTCTCTCAGCCTGAACCATACCTGGTCCCTTCGCTTTCCTCCAGCTACAAGACAGAGACAAAGCAGAAATGTTAACTGTGGACCCTAAATGTCAGTTTACCTCAATGGTTACAGTGGAGCCATCCAATCAGCTTCATAATCATGACCAAACAACAGAGACATGGTGATGATATGAACCCCAAGGTGCCACTGTTCCCTGCTGTACCTTTCCTCCTGAGCCTTTCCAAGTCATTTAAAGAGTCCGAGCCTTCTCCTCCTCCAAGGTCATTGCGATAGCGTGTGTTGACTCTCCAGAGTAGACTCACTCATTGACAGCTTCTTGAGTGAGTCAGCCAGCTCTGCTAGGGGGGGGGAGGGGGCGGGGGGGGGGGGTGCAGAATGCCTTAAGGAGTCTGCGCTCAGACGAGAATCCCAAAGAAAAGCAGAATATAGAAGATAAAGGACCGGCATTCGGGGAAAAGGCTTTCCTATGAACCTTGAGTGGGAAGAGGTCCGGATCTTAAACTCTCTTTCGCTCCTCAGTTCCTCACTTCTTGTAGAGTGGTTCTCGGATTCAGCAGCCTTACTGGCGAGCTCCTTGCTTTCTCCTCCACTAGTTTACCTTACCCTCTCCTCTGCTGTCGAGCGCAGCTGGGACATGGAGTCACTGAAGCGATCTTGGTGGCGTCTGTCACCGCGCGCTCCTTTGCAACGCCTTTGTTTTGGGGACTCCTCTAGCTGCTGCCGTAGTACATGGGCTCTCCTCTGGGTTTGGGCTATGGCCGCTCCTGTCGGCCTCTTGCCGTGCTCCGGCGCGGTTCACCTGCTCCTCCTTTCACCTGCAGGGCGGCTTCTAGATCCTTCACCCGGATGCAGCCTCCTGGTCCCTTCTCCCGCTGCAGGAACGTCTCAGGGGGCAGGAGGCCCCCTTTTCTCCGTCGCTGCAAGTGTGGCTCGGTGATACCTTCATTCTCGCAGGCTGTTCTTGCGCGAGTCTCTGGCCTTCGGACAGGCTTCTGGAAAGGCCTGCTGCTGATACGTTGATTGGCTACGTTCACCTGTTTGATGTGAAAGGCTAGTAAGTTAAAAGAGCATCTGCCCATTGAGTCAATAGGAATACGGCAAGGACAACAACATGCAATAACAAAAGTCCTAACAAATACATAAACACAGGCAATATCAGTTCGGGCCGCAGACTTGAGCAACTCGTCAAGCATTACCCATCTAAGAGTGATACTGTTTGTTGAAGGAAATATTTCAGCCAACAGTGGCAACCAGAATCCAACTAAAGTGGTTGACTATGATTATATGTTTTTATAATGATTATGAGTTTTGTATGCAGTCCAGTGGTGATGGGGCAACTCCTAAAGGCAGGGTGTGCAAACCAAAGGCCCGGGGACCAAACCGGGCCGGCTTGACTTACTTTTCATGCGGGTGCCCACAAGAGTTAGGCTTGCAAAGAATCATAATATGTTTATTATCACGGTTAGCATGCGCAGATTTACAGAAGCAGCGTTGGCCCATCAACTACATGTCCCACATGCATCTCAAATATGGCCTTTTTCTCAGATTTCGACCATTTTTTTTCCCTTCAAAAATGTGACTTTTTCTTAGAATGTGGCTTTTCTTTTTAAATCATTGTGACATGCGGCACTGAAGAGAGTTGCAATTACTTGCCCCAGACTTCTGGCTTTCAGAGCGTAGTTTAATTATGAGTTATTCCCGCTATCCCGAATAATAATCCAATGCAGAGGGCAACTAATGTAAAATAATACATTATTTTTATACATATTATAATATTTATTATGTATTTATATCTATGAGTTACAACGCGGCCCTTGAGTGCAGACGCTTAATGCTGATGTGGCCCTCCCGATGAGTTGAGTGTTTGAACCCCTGTCCCTAAAGTGAGCCGCTTTTAGCTTGAATCTTTCTTAAAAACAAATCCTAGATAAAGGAAATAAGGCAGGTGTAATTAAAAAATAAGGAGCTTTTGATTACTAACTGGCTTTTTTCAAGCTGCAGTTTCCTGTTTGATAAAAATGTCAATGTCTCCAAGGCATGAAATTAGTCTAGAAATAAAGCCAACCTTGTCTTGGAGCTATCCATTCAGTTTCTACCATCACAACCTGTGAGTTCTGTCGCTTAAGGCGCTGGTGTTCCTCTCTCCATCTCCCGGAGCAGAGCTCTCTCTGTCTCTGTGTGAGCTGACAGGCAAAGCTCATCGGCCTTGCCTTTACGCTCCAGCCCAGGCGGAAGCAGCGAGTGGAATCGACTCTGCGTCGCAGCGTTTCGCGAGTCTGTCCGCTGCGTTTTTCCAGAGGCGGTTTTTGACGTCCGATAGCAAAACTCAGACTTCAAGGGCGGTCAGGACTGGTTATTGGCAGTTGAAGCACAGTTTGGGTCAGGGCTATCACTGTTGAGTTTTAAGAATCTCCGACGAGGCATATTCCCAGCTGCTCTTTGAAGGTGTTCATTCTCCTCGCAAAAGTGAAGCTCTCTTTGAGACTGCTGTTTGGCCGTGAACGCTCGCAGGTCTGCCGCTGAGGAGCTCAGACCTGCTCCTGGAGGATGGTAGTTTGGGCTGGAGGGCAGGCTCGCTCTCCCCTGTCACTGGCCTCAGTGAGCTGAGAGCATAAGCCTACAGGACAGGAAAAAACATGTTGGCGTTAAAACACACAGCACACAACACACACACACACACCACACACACACCACAGCCACCCCACACACACACACACACACACACACACACCACACACACACACAGCACACACACACACACCACACAGCACCCAACACACACACACAGCACACACACACACAGCACACACACACACACACACACACACACACACACACACACACACAACACACACAGGCACACACACACACACACACACACACACACAACCAACACACACACACACACAACACACACACACACGAACACACACACACGAATTTGTGTGTGTGGAGTTGTGTTTTGAGTCCAGACATTTTCCAAACAATGTTTGATAAGAAAATAACTAACATTTCCCCCAAAAAATAAATAACATTTAAGATAGAAAATGTATGAGAAAAGTATTCACATCTATAGAAAAATAACAACTTGAAATACAAACAAATAAAATAAAGTCACAAAGGAAAAAACTGTAAACTTTACCATTAAATTCCCAAATTACGATAAAAATTCAAAATAAAATGTATAGGAAAATATTGGAATTTGAAAGTCTAATAATTTCACATGTTGCGTTAAGACTCTGCCTCAAAACCTTTTTTATATTCCTTTCCAGCTACATATAAAGAAACACAACATCCCATGGTTATACATGTTAAAATACCATCGATTCTAAACCATATAAACAAACTAAAATGATGGATATCACTGTGTGAAGATTACCTCATTGCTTTTGCCGATGTTTCTTTTGTTCTCGTGCTCTATCTCCTGCTGCTTACGGAGATGGCTGCTGAGCAGATTCTCCTGCAGCGTCCGAGCGCTGCGCTCCTGAGCGAGCAGTCTCTGGGTCTCACTGTGGTCCTCTTCAAGCTGGGAGTAAATAACATATAACCAACTAATGCAGGGGTGTCAAACTCAAATACACAGTGGGTCAACATTAAAAAATGGGTACTAGTCGAGGGCCGGACTGGTTCAATGTTTATTGCAAAACTTATTGAAATGAACTTATTGCACATATTAAACCTGGGACTAACAAAGCTTAAATTATTGCCAATAAAAACAACATTAAACATTAAATAATCAGTTGCATTCATTTCTTATGGCTCTATCTGCAGTTTTTCCAGAGTCATTTCTTATGATTACATTTTTCCACAGGCCAACAACAGCTTCAAAAAAACGATTTCCCTCAAAGAAAAAACCAAACATGCCCTGTTGTCGTGAGAAACAAAGTGCAGAAGGAAACATCCATGTAAACTCAGATGCTAGTTCAGATACTTGTCATCTCATCTCATCTTGGGTGCAAGTTCATCAATGTTTGGGGTCAGGCTCTGAGCTGAGGAGACCCTCAGGATTGAGTGAAGGTGTGCGTGCAATATACCGGCGGGCCAGATCTAATAGTAATTAGAAATTATCCTGCGGGCCGAAATTAAATCCACCAAGGGCCTGATTTGGCCCCCGGGCCTTGAGTTTGACACATGTGAACTAATGCATCAATCTGTTTTACACCAAACAAAGCTGATCTCATTACATCATCATAAGCTTTAACTAATGCCTAATAATGAGTATTAAGCATCATACAAAACATGTGAAATGATCTAAACATTAAAGCTTAGTTAAAGATATTTTAAAACATAATGTGATATTGTTAACATGACATTAGCCAACATCAATACAATAAAAAGAAAAATGGTCCCGCACTGACAGAAAACAAATGGAGTTTAAGATGCTGTACCTGCTTCATGCTGTTGACCAGTGTTCTCATCTCCAGCTCCAGGTTCCTGAGGGTGAGCTCCACCTTCTGCTTGTCCTGCACCTCCACCTGGTGCTGCTCCTCCATCCTTCTAAGCTGGTCTCTGGTCGTGTTGTACATCATGGTGGCGTTGCGGCGATGTTCCTGCTCCTGTTTCAGCTGAAATCTATAGCAAGTTTCAGACGAAATATCGTTTTTAAATCAATTTAAAAAAGATCCATAAATTAGGCCATCACAAATATGACAAGAGAGAGCAAGAGCATGTAAAGGAACGGCTACAGGAAGCTGTCGTTCTAGGAAAGGAAGTTGCTCTCACTTGAGGTTTGGGACTTCAGACTGCAGCTCCAGCTGGTTGCGCTCCAAGGCCGATTTCACATCTTTAACTTCCTCCAGAGAGCTGTTCAACTCCGCCCTCTCCATTTCCAGCTGGCTCACCTTGTCTGACAGGTACCCATGGCGACTCCTTGCCTTTTGGATGGAGCGCTCATACTCGTGGAAAATGTTCTGCAGCTTCACCATGCTTCTTGAGTCTAGGGATATAATATTGCAAGTCTCTTTCAAAGGTGGATTGCCTACATGTATTTAGCTAATTATATGTGTGTTGGCATTTGAATCAGTACCCAAAGTGGCTGAGTCCAGCTTCTGAATGAGGAGGGACGCGTGGCGATAGCCTGAAGTAGGAGAGTCGTCCGTGGCTGTGTCCGACGACTGAGTGAGTTCATCAAAGTCTTCTGCCATCTCCACTTCTTCAGGATTCTGGATATGGAAACAGCTCGGTTGGGAATAGGATTCACTTTCTCAAACTTCCAGCCACAAGTTAATAAGCAAATGTGTATTTTACCTCGTTTCTCTGCTGTCCACTAGCTGGAAACCTGAGCCCAGAGAATTAAAACAGGGGTTATTTGAAAAACTGATTTGCTATGATAGCTGCATTGCAGACTTGTTGAACGTGTAATGGTATAATGCAGTATACTATTCATTTTTATGGAAATCATTGGTTAGTCATGCACCTATGTACTGTAGGAAGGAAAATGTATTCCTACTGATCACCCACCACCAGTATCGTGAAAGTTTGTTTAGACTGAATGCAAAGCAAATGTTAAAAACGACCAATGAACCAACATCTAAACTTACCAACAACTCCAGTGGTTTCTCTAATGTTCCCTATTCAGTTGTATCTGTTACTGAAGGTATTGAAGGTAATATACTGGAGGTAATACACTGAATTTGGTCCTTATACACAACCCCCTTTTAAAACGTCCAACTGTCCCTTTAAGTCAGGGGTCGGCAACCTTTTTGATATGAAGTGCCATTTAAACAAAAAATTGTGATCAGTGTGCCGACGCTCGTGAACTGTCAACGGGGGGGGGGAAGCAGTGTGTGGACCTCTTTCACCTGTCAGCGCAACTTACATGATGCGGTTTAAAACACATTTAAATAATTGGGTTAAAGGGCATAATAATAATAACGACCGTCCGTGATTCTCCAGAACACCCAGATGGCCAGTCCGCCCCTGTGTAGCATATTATTTTCGATGAGAGATGAGCAGATCGCCACTGGGCTTTCAACTAAAGACGCAAAAACTGCGGCATTTGTGCAGCTCCTTATGGGTAGCCTACTGCAATGTCTGAAGTGCGGGCGCGCTCCGGCAGCACTACTACACCCCTGATCGTTTCCCCACGGAGGAAAGCAGCAGCAGTCGACTGGAGTTAAAGAGAGCGGGGCTGCGTTGCGTGCATGGCTTCCTTCTGCAGGTAACGGGGAGACGCGCTCTGGCGGCGGTCTCGTTCAGGATCCGAAAATACAATTTAAATATTTTGCACACTTATTCCTAGTGTGCCACTGGTTACGTTGCCGCGTGCCAATGGTGGCACGCGTGCGAGGGGTTGCCGACCCCTGCTTTAAGTGAACTACTACAGGTTACAGAAAGGCCTTTAGAGACCTTCATTTTCTCTCCCTAGTGCGAATCTGTAACTGTTCACATCCGATCACTTCTTTCCATTGACTTTCCACACAGTCGTGCTTCCTGTATAATTCACTTTGCCTTCAGTCAGAACACACCTTATGAGTTAGTGACAGAGAGGTGAAATTGATACTGCATATATACCTTCCTTCATCGTCCGACACTTCACTTAATGTGCTATCGTCAAACACAGAGAGAGGATCTCCATTGACATGAGCGTTGGTCTGAGGGGCTCTGCTGCGCGGGGCCCCTCGGACCAGCTCCAGCTGTAGGGTCTCCTCTACAGCTGGTCCCTCCTGTTTGCTGCTATTGTAGGTCTGCTGGAGTGGGAGACGCAATTGCACTGGTTCCCCGTTGGTGCTATGGAGAGCAATAAACCTGATAGTCAATAAGCTGTGACCTCTCAGATCTGGAATCAAGGGGATGGGTGGGATGGAGGTATGCAATGCTATTGAATGTATATTTTCTCTGATTTTGAAATCTCAATGAAAACTGTTAAACAAAAAAGATAAGTTGTGACCTCTCCACGTCAGGGCCCTTGTGGAGGTTTTGCTGAAGAAAACCTCATCAAATTGAATCAATAAAATAAAGTTCAGCTCTCTGCTGAATGCGTCATTGAAAAATAAATGTAGTTTCAGTAAAAAACATTTATCAAACTTATAAGACTTATGAAATGATTTACAGGACAACTACAGACACAAACACACACAAGTAACATCCTAGCTTTTAGGTAATATCAGACTAAATTTTGGAGCATGCGACTCTGAAATTGTAAGGGTTAACATGTGCTTGTGATGAATGTCAGTGGGAAACAATGTACAAGAGAAATGAATGCATACCTCTTGATGGCTGCAGGCGGTTTCTCCTGATGAATTGCTCCCGCTGGAATTGACATGCCTCCTAACCTGGTCTCAGGTTCCTCAGTGCCCACTTCTTCCAATGCCGTTCCACCAGACTCCCAAGAGGTACTGGATGTTTCCACCACCATTGCAGTCGTTCTGGTGTCTTTGGCAACCTGAAAAGACAAAAAGTGAAATATTAAATAACAGGACTTGAGGGATTATTCCCAACTGGAACAGGTTGGGGCCAGGCTTTTTAAGATGCATTTTGGAGCAGGGACTTGTACACTTTGTCATACATAATTTAGTGTCACCCCTCCCATTGGAGACCTAACACCTTGGTGTGGTTACTCTATTTGACATGCTATTTTAAGTTAAATTACAGGAATGCATTTTTCCATGCATTGTAATTCTTGCTTTGGCATACCTAAACTGAGAAAAAGCTGAAGTCAAAGGTTCTTTACTTATTGCAAATGAGCTCGACAATACAGTATTACTTTCTCTTAAACACGTCCGTCTCACACACTATTCAGATATTCTATCCAATAATTACAATGACAAATAAAGTGTATTTCTTTCTATGCTGTATTTCCATGGAGGTATCAAAACACTCTACAAAAGGATGGCTGAAATATAAATATATTCCTTCCCTGCATATCAGTATAACTTAAGCATATCACGAAGAAGAAAAAAAAAAAAGATCCAGCAAACTGCCAAGAAAGCACTTATTTTTGTGGAAAAGAAGGCCATTATTCATTCAATCATCACACAACATCACTTAGTTAATTAAAACAAACATAGTCAACTTAAAGACACATGCAAGTTTCATGCAGAACTAAGGACAAATCAGTACTAAAGAACACATAATGGTACGTTCACACCGGAGGCGATGCGATTTGTTCGTGGTTCGAGATTATATGTAAAGTGGATAGATTGACGCGGCGCGATTGGCTTGATTCTCTACCATAGTATCTACATAAAGATAAGCCCCGCCTCCTCGCCAGCACATCTTGTTTGAATGACGCGAGTAAACACAACTGACAGCCACGGTGAAACTCGGGCGATTATTTGCATCGCGTCCGGTGTGAACGCACCATAAACTTTGTTTAGTGTTGCAGAAGTATTAAGAATGCCAAACAACCAACATGTTTTCTGGAGTGCAGTGCATGTGACTTTCAACCAACAGCAATTCAATTTGACATGTGAGTTAAAAGGACACAAAAAGACACAAAATAAATAAATAGAGAAACATGCAAGATGGACACTTCAACTTAAATTCAAACCTAAAGAAAATGGCTATCAAGAAGTTGAAAAATGAAAATAGGATGCATGGCTAGTTTGGGCCATTTAAAACCGCTGACTAAAAGAAATGAAATGAAGAACATGGATGTAATGGAGAGAAAGAGGCGATCAAGACTACAGGAGGAGCGGCCATCCTCTACCTCTTTCTGGAGTTGGGCCCTTTCTTTCTCCAAATCCTGGAAGACAACCTTCAGCACCCCTACCTCAAGTTTAAATCTTCCCATGTCCTCCTCGAGCTCTTCATCAGAAACACCTGGGAGTGATGCTGAACGTCTGCTCATTGAGGGGGGACGAAACTTGGCGAATTCCTCAGGGTCCTCTTCTGAACTGGCGTTGTTTTGATCAGCTAAATTAGAACTGCTGTCCTTCCAGATCAGGTCCAGATGTGGTTTGTGGGATGGCCTCAGTTTGGCCTCATCCTTTAAGAATGTGCTCCGGTCAACATCGGACATGTGCATGGTATGATCATCACTCAGAGCCGTGGCAACGTGATCTACGCAGCTGTTTCTTTGTGCTGTGGTGAGTGGAGGTGACGGAGATCTGCGTACCTCATCAGTGAGTACATCTGACTCTCGGCGCATGTTGGTCTCACTACGTGGGGGGGGCGCTGAAACCTGCATCGGGTCATCGCATAACGAGTTGTCAGTTGAATCCGCCAGAGAGTCTTCCTGTCCAGACTCCCTCTGCTCGGGTATGGTGAGAAGGACGGTACTCCTTGCTCTGGCCGTCGGCCGCACAATCACTTCCCCATCTTCGTCTTCATCGCTCGACTCTGAAGTAGATTCCGCCGCGGCCTGTTCTTCTTCTACGACTTCTTCTGCAGTCTGTCTTGATCTAAGCAGTTCTCCAAACTTCTCTTTTAATTCCCCAGCAACGTTCTTGAAGGTGGATTTCACCTCCCGTTTTTCCACCTCCACCCACAGCTTCTCGTAGCGATTCTCCCATGGGACGCCATCACTAGCTTCACCCCTTTCTTCATAACTGGGTTGATCTTTAAAGATATGATCCTTTTCTCCACCGTCAGAGCCCGCATGGCCAGATGGATTTGAGTTATTTAGATCTAGCTCGCATATATCTACTGCACCATCTACCTCCTTTGATGGCATGGTGGACAAGGAAGACAAAACACAGACAAGACAAAACATACAAAAACCACATTTGGACTTTAAATGAAAAGACACAATATTCAAACAAATATGGCAGAATTTAAACATACAGATATTGCTCAAAGATTATATTTGCGATAAGGTAATTTGTGATTTGTTCTTACTTGTTTGGCACATATTGTTTAAAACAGAACATTTGATTTCTGGCACAGTACATGCTAATAGTATTTGTAGCCCTATCCCAAAATTGCAAATGTGAATTTAAATATTTTACCAATTATTTGGATAAAATTGGAGATGGACTAACTTTGTTATTTACTGAGCAAAACTTCTAAAACAATCTTTGATCTTGCCTAGAGTAGGGCTGCTTAATTCATCGTATTTTAATCGCAATTACGATTTTGGCTTGCAACGATTTTTATTGGTTTTTCAGTTGAATTATACTTAAAGTTCAGGGTAATCAACTGTTAAAAACATACAGTTCAACATCTTTTTTTTTGTAAATGGATGTTTTCAAAGTAAATGGATAATTGTTTTTAATAATCGTGATATCCATTATTGACCCAAATAATCGAGATTATGATTTTTGCCATAATCGAGCAGAACTAGCCTAGAGCTTCTGCAATTTCACAATAGTTTGAACTGACACAGATCAAATGTTTCATTTCCTTGGAAAGCATGAATGGTGATGCTGGGACAAACTAAAGTCAGGAATAAGATATCAACATATTGGTAGAAATGGTAGTTTGTGGGTGTTTCTCACCTTTGGTTGCTCCTGGTCAGACTCTTCCTTAGTTTTGGGGTCTCTTGCCATCGGTGAGAGCTCAGGGGAACCTAAGGAGACAGAGAGTCTTTATCACGAACACAGGGCGTGAGCACACATATCTGTAGTCAACCTAAAGAAAAGCAGACAGCCTTACCTGGTGTAACCACTATCTGAAGCTCAGCTAGGTTTTGCAGCTGATTGTCAACTTTGGCTGTATTGCTAGTGGACGCCACATTGTCTTGTTCCCAATCTGATTCTGAATTAGAGCAGAGAGAGGAAAATGCTGTGATAATATCCTTTGTCTCAATGGTTTAAAAGTGTTTAGAAATGATATCACAGAAGAGCTTAATAGGCCTTACCTTCTTCACTCTCTGGTTTTGCAGGCACCATCTTCTTTGCTCGAGGCTGGGGTTGGGGCACGGGTTGAGGGGGTGTGCTGGGTGTTGTTTTGTTGGGGTTGATGCTTCTTGGAGTTGTTGGAGGTGCAGCTGTAGCAAAGTTTTCTTCCTGCTCTTTAGGTGGATAAGAGCATTCCGGGGACTCCTCCAGTCCAGGGGAGGGCATTCTGCGGCCGGGCAGGGTTCTCTTACTGGCCGTACTGGCGGAGTCCCAGTCTGACGCATCTGTGTCATAAATACAAGAAGTTGTAGGTAAATAAACAACAAATGACATTGATGCTGATGAAGGTATGTTTACACTGGGATAACAACAACACCCAACACTCAACCACTCAATGAAAAACATCTGGGATTGGCTGGGATGCTATTGCACTCACATCAGACTGAGGTAACTACAGCTACCAGGGTCCAAAGTTCACCTTTCTTACAAGCTAGTTCACGTTTACTGACCTCTTTTTTTAGCTTCAACAAGTGCGGTGATGACAGAAAAATAGAAAGGGTGGTTAAGCCAGGGTTGCATGCAGATAGACCATTTTTTATGATTACAAATAATGTATCTCCTTAAAGGTAGGGTAGGTAAGAATGGAGAAACCAGCTCGAGTGCGCTAGAATTTGAAAATACACAACCGGAAAAAATCTGCCTCTTCCTTCAGACGTCCTTACAGAGCCCCTCCTCCAACACACACGAAGGCACACATGACCAATGAGGGCACGAGATAAGTTTGTGCACGAGATAGAAGGCTGACAGGCAGGTAGGCCATTTAATGTATTCATTGATATCGGGATGTTAAGAGCATTCCATGGAATATAACAAAAAGTGTTTCTGAAGTGAATTACCTACCCCCCCTTTAATATTTGAAAGTGACGCTTTCGGGTGCTACTCAGACATATATCATCTACCAGCAAACGACCTGATAATCAGTGATTCTGAAAGAAGGGTTTGTTGCAAAAAAAATCAGATTCATTCATTTAAATATTCATGGGTATTCTGTGTTAAGATGGAGCAAATGTTACATCTATATTTCTAATATATATTTTTAAGGTTGTTCTTAACCATAACAAGGCTATAGTTTAAAAAAGTGGCTACGTCAATTTCTTCCAAAAGAGGTACATAAAGGGGTCCCCGGTCTGTTCTTTATCTAAAAAGGGTTTCTCTGCAAAAAGGACTATGTACAGTATGTGCATTATGTTTAGAGGCAGACAAAGGCATTAGATGATCAACTGCCTTGTGATCACCATATTTAAAAAATATTACAAAAGGTGGAGAATTCGTTATTATTGATTACCTTCAAGATCATCAACATCACCAAGACCGAGCTCTTCCATTAAGTCTGTCAAAGAGAAACAAACTACCATGTTAAAAACAACAGACCAAAAGGAACCACAATGCTTCAGGTTATTCTATCCACCTGTCTGCTGTTCGTGATCGGCTTCAAGTTTGCTCAAAACACGAAGAGGTTCCCACTTTGACTTCTCAGTCTGGAAGAAAGAAAGAAAAACAAAGAAGACGTTTCCAACAGTTTTCACAACTTACTTGATTTTCTAGGACATTTAGTTGCTGGACCTACCTCTTTCTGTATCCCACCATCTTTCTCAACATCTTGTCTATTATCACCAGTATGGTCGTTTCCAACTGAAAGAGACATGACGTGTGAAATGTGTGAAAAACAATACACTTTTTATGTGAAAACCATTCTGGTGAAGCTGGCTGAGTTTGCCAGAACATCAAAACGCATTCCCATGCAAACAAGCTCATGGTTAATTAGCGTGAAGAGACAATGGTTAGGCATCCGTTGGGCAATTAGATTCCTGGTATACACTGGGACACAATTTCAGCATTTGCCAAGCATTCTGCACTTAGTTATTTCTATAATTTGTGCCAAAACCTGCTGAGACAATGCTAGTTAAGAAAATAAATATGACCAAAATGTGGGATAATAGGGTTTGAGGGTAGCAGGCATGGTGGAGTGGCGTACTGTATACTGCATGCATTCTCTTATGGTGATCAGGAGGTGATGGTTACCATGCTGTTCCTCAGACCTATGAGTCAAAGCATTCATACCCTCTCCCTGGCTGCCTCTCGGCCTGCCTACACTCCTCCGAGGCTCTAGGGTCCTATTCCCTCCTTCCTCTCTTAAAAACGAGGGAATATAAAACAAGTCTACAAAAGAAATGTAACATATTGTTGGAAAGGCTGTTTTGATTCATGGAAATTATATTGCATTGCACATTCTACAGCTTTTTTAGACCACAGAAAGTATCACAGACACATATTAATACATTTATACACTAAAGCAGTTTTTTATAAATGTGATATCAAAAGGTCATATTGTTTCTGAAGCGTGAAATGGCGCCTTGAACGATTAGATTCTTCAAAAAAGTACAAATATAAACTGACCTTCTTTTCTCTCTTCTTCAACAGTGTCTTCTTTAACTTTGATAAGCGAGCTTTGTTTCTCTTGCTTTGGAATTTTGGGGTTTTCAGAGTGGGACTGAAAGAGAAAAGGCAATCTGTGAGAATTTGATTGGCTAACATCTGATCCTCATAGATATTACATAATGTGTCTTGACTGTACCTCAGAGTCCCAAGAGTCCTGCTCTTCCTCTCCCTGCTCTAGACCCAGCTCGGACAGGAAATCTGTTTCAACAGGTGTAGATTTATTACAATGCTGAAACTGAAAAGTAATGGTAGGAGATATAGAGAAAATACACAAGGCAGCAGCACTTACTTTTTTTAATGAATAACCACTTTTACAATAACATAGTTACTGCAGTTGATTTGGTCAAATCATATAATTATATAATTTTTCAGTAAGAATGTCTACAGTTGAAGGAAATCAAAAGTGTATCTGACTGTCATTAAAGCAAACCATATAAAGGGGCAAAGCTGTTATTGTTTACTGAGGAAATGACTACCTGTAGGTGCCAGATGTTGAAGTTGTAGTGTTAGAAGTACAGTTGGCCGTGCATTGTACATAGTGCATCGATAATAAATAAATAGCTCCTTACCCCTTTTCTTATCTTTAGAGACTTCTGTTTCAGGAACAGCTGAGGCCTCAAGGGACTCTGCACTTGCTTCAAGTTGTTCATTATCATCTGAGACATCTTCTTCCTCATCCTCCTCCTCATCCTCTTCCTCCTCATCATCCTGGTCATCATCATCCTCATCCCCAGTCGAATCTTCTTTCTAATAAAAAAAAAGAAATTACAAATAGATTTGACATAAGCATAAACTTCAAAAGCTTATTCTCTTATACATGAGAGTAACACATGCGTCACTTCCGGGCAAAAATGACGGCTCCGCCCACTTTTGGGGGAAAACAAAGCTGTCATTTGAATGGCGGTCAATACAAATTATGAAGTTTTTGCCAATCCGATCAGAAATGTAAGAAAACCGTGGATTTTTGGATCGTCAAAGAGCCCGATTACGATGGCCAGACAGGCAAATAATTACATTGAATCATTTGAAATCGACGATCGGGCTCAATATATGGTTAAATAAAGCAGTAGGCGATCGATGTCCACAGATGAGAGTAACATCTACGTCGCTTTACGGCCCGCCCACTTTTGGGGGAAACCAACGCTGTAATTTGAATGGCAATGAAGCCTGAAGCCAAAGAGTTCTTCTTTTACTGTCCTTTGTTCTTAGAGGAAGTACAGAAACACTGAACTCTGGATTTGTTTTAATGTTTGAGGTGCAATAAACGACACAGCAGCTTTTTGGCATGATAAAACTATTATTTTCCGCTCATGAGAGTAACAGCTGGCAAATTACAGACTCGCCTACTGATTTGAATTTAACCATATATCGAGCCCGATCGTCTATTTCAAATGATGTAATGTAATAGTTTGCCCAGAAGTGACGTAGCTGTTACTCTCATCTATAGCATATTTCACAAGGCAACTCCAATGGTATAAAAAACACTGGGAAAAGGATATACAAATAGCTTGTCAAATGCTGGTTTTAAGAGACCACACTTCATTTCAGAAACTGTTACGCTACAACTAAGAACTACCTGTAGTGTTCCTGTTTTACCTGAATGACCGGCTCGTCAATGTTTCTGACTTCTTGACTGTTCATGCCTAAGCTCTCTGCCTCATCAGGCGAGACCACATCAACATCATCAATGTCCGTCTGAGGTAACGCTTCATCGTCAGGCGATGCGTTCCCGTCTGAGTCACGGTGTTGACCAACAGTGGGTGGGCTCGAACACATATTTGTCCTTGTCGGTTCTTCATTGAGGTCGTCCGATGACACTCTGGTCTGGGAAACAATGGCACCACTATTTTCTAGCGGAACATATGAAGTTAATCTAGCCTCGTCATCATCGTCAGACACTTTCACCGTTGCGCTGGCGAAATCGTACAGCAGTCTCTGGTCCTGGCTGTCAGAGTCCTCACTTCCCTCATTATCTTTGTCGACATCAACCAGCTTGTCTTCCTCCTCCAGCCCGTTATCCTCTACAGTCTGATCCTTTCCATCAATAATAGATTCTTGATCCTTTTCATTATCTTCATCTCCCTCTAACTTGTTGTCTATTGCGCTCGTGGGCCTTGACTTGTTTGGGGTGGAATGATTTGTCTCTAAGACGTTAACGCAGGCTTCAACATCATTATCCTTTGTCCCCATTGACGTCAGCTTTTCTGACTCATTACTTTCATCCTCATCATCCCAACTACTGTCATCGCCTTCTTCCTTCTCCGACTTTAACCTGTCTTCCTTTTGTGATGTTTCAACCTCATCGTTATCTAGTGTATGGATTGTGGTTGCCTTTTCACCCTCAGGTACTGGTGACCCTGCAGTAGAAGGGTAATTTAAAACTTTCTCAACACTTTCTTTATCTTGTTCTTCCGCAAAGTCATCAGAACACTGCTGCTCACCAGTCTGGTTTGCAGATACGATATTTGTTTTAAAATCTGGTGAATGCGCATCATCTTCATGGTTATTTTCAGTAGAGGAATCCCACTCGGATTCATCTACTGTTGCTTTCGCTAGTCTGTTTTTGGACTGAAGGGTGCTTTTTGAACGTGACCCCAAAGCAGACACAAGTTCCTCTATCAAGGGCTGATGCGAGACACGTTTTGGACTTGGTACCCGTGGTGATGAGGAATCCCACGAGGTATCTGGTTGATCTACATTTGGTTGAGCTAATGGGCATTTTGAAGGTAGTGTTTCTGCTTCTGGTTGTACATCTGGAACATCACTTTTCTGATCAAGGGTCTCATTGTTTACCTCATATTCTTTGGGTAGGTCATTGTCACTGTCGTCTAACGAGGAGCCCCATGAAGATCTGCGTTTACTCTCTTTGAACAATTCTTTTTTTGATGCACCATCAGAGGAACCGTGTGTATTTTCACCTTTACCATTGCTCCAGGAATTATCATCCTTTTCCATTTCTCCTTCTTCCTCCTTTACCACAGCTGGTGAAGTTTCTGTGTGAAGTCTGGAAGGGAGGGGGCCTCCTTTTGAACCAAGGCTGTCATCTTCATCAGAAAACTTAGATTCTACTCTAATGGCCGACACGATACAGTCTGTTGCTGGCAGTGCGTAACTAATTGTTCCAGATGGGTGGACAGTGGCATCTTTCTCTGAGTCTCCTACAATCCCGGGACTAGTTTCCCTGCTATAAGGGGTGTCAGCACCAGGTATGTTTTCAGCGTCAATAATCTTGAGAGCAGCAGTAACAGAGGGTTTGTCTTCAAATTCAGTCTTGTTGGCCTCAACAGAAGCCACAAATTTGCCATCATCCTCTTCCTCCTCCTCATTTTCTTCATCCTCCTCTTCACTTTCCTCATCATCATCATCTTCATCCTCTTCCTCTTCATCTTCCTCCTCCTCTTCCTCCTCCTCCTCCTCTTCTTCCTCCTCCTCCTCTTCCTCTTCTTCCTCCTCCTCCTCCTCTTCTTCTTCTTCTTCTTCTTCCTCCTCCTCCTCCTCTCCCTCTCCCTCTCCCACCTGAGAGTCTGACCTTGTGTTACTAGTGGAAGGCTGCTCTGATTGTTTGCTTTGCTCCTGGTCGTCTGCTGTAATGAGTGTTTAGGGGGGGAAAAAAAATAGAAGGACAGATATTAAAAATGCAATCAGCACCGCTTCAACACCACATATTTTACCTTTTTGTAGCTTTGAAGAGGGGTAGAAGACATCTGGGGTGCTTTGGACAGGAAGGACATGGGAGAAGGATCTACTGGGCGCTGGGGAGCTTTGCTGGACGGTAACGCCTTAAGGAGGGATGGGATTCTCTGCACTCTATTCTGACTCTCTGGTTCAGATTCTGTAGCGCTCAGGGATTTGTCAGGTATCGCAGAAGCTACAAGGCAGGCAGTCAGGGATGAAAGATTACTACCAAAAAATCACAAACTATGGAGGAACACTGATAAGAGGCGCTTTCACACCGGAGTACTTTTCCCAGTTTCCCGTTTAGTTCCGATAGTTCCTGGAATTTTGCGTTAACACCAAAAATAGAACTTAGTTCATGAGAACTTTCCCCCCCTTTTTAGTCCCTGCTAGAGAGGTGTTACTTTCCTGGGGAGAAAAAAGTTCAGATTTCTGATTGGCTGGGCGAATTCCAAACCACGCCCCGTAAAACTCGGAAAAGTTTTGTGAAGCATTGTATTTGCTGGCATTAGCATTATTAGCATTAGCCCCACGCACCAACGGAAAGAGAATAACTTATGGCAACACAAAAGAAAACATGGGAGCGGAGGAGATGAGGAGGTGTCGGCTTTCTGGCAATTTACTACTGAACTCCGGGGACTTCCGGCCGGGGACTTCGGGTGGCAGTATACGCTGTGAAGTTGTTTGCGGCCTGCCAGTAGACCCAAAGCAGAAGAAGAAGAAGTGACGTCAGCGGCTTCATTTGCCTAATCTTCCCTCAGGGACTTATTCCGGTGTGAACGCGATCTGCTCTTTGGTTCCATGGGGGAACTAAGTGCTGGGAACCAGAGGCGGACTGGCCATTGGGAATACTGGGAGTTTTCCAGGTGGGCCGGTGCTGGCCCACATTTGTAACTGCGGTCAAGCCAGCCGTCTTTCACTTTTGCGTGGTCAAACCAGCCGCCCCTGTATTTCGAGTGCGCGATTAGTTACAGGTTTACGGTAATGCAATAAAACAACCCTGGGAAGCTGGTTCATTTCTATTATTTGCGATTGAGGAACAGGGTAATTTATGAGAATAATGTTAGGACTTATTGCTTCATAAACTTGTTGCACAAATACTATGAACTACTTTTACTGCTGTACTTTTTGAGAATGGGCAAAATTCCTCCAGAGAACACAGAAGCGAGCATTTTCGTCTAACTTTTCGATGTTGGATAAAAGAGCATTTCTTCCATAAGTAAGTTTATTGAGTCTGGCCATGTTTGGTACTTAAATACCTTCCTTAGACTACTTGCAAACATAATATGCAACTACTTTTACTGTGTACTTTTTCCAGTAAATTTGAGTTTCAGAAAGGGGTGGGGCCGTTTTATAGGCTTACCTATGTCCTATCTACTCCAGACTAGTTTCACTCTTCACACATCCAGGCCCCGTAGCAGCGAACGATCCGGAGTGCAGTGACTGACGAGACCTAGCCTGGCAGTTGATTACAGATGGATAAACAGCTCCAAAAGCGTAAAGGCCGTTTTTGTATAGTTTAGTGTACTGTATACCAGTATTGTAGCTAGCCCTGGGTTCANCCTAAACCTAACCAAGTCTTCACCCTAAAATTAATGATTCCCCTCATGGGGACCTCCATTTTGTCCCCATAAGGGAGGCGAATCCCCACACGTGACTGTGTAAACAGATTTAGGTCCCCACAAGTATAGTAATGCTAGGCCACACACACGCGCACACACGCACGCACGCACACACACACACACACACACACACACACACACACACTCTCTCTCTCTTCCCCCTGTCACTTCATCATCCCTCCACACCTGACAGTTTGTCAGTCTCTCTCTCTCTCTCTCTCTCTCTCTCTCTCTCTCTCTCTCTCTCTCTCTCCCCCAGGCGTTATGGTGACCTCTCTGTGTGTATTGTAGCATGTAATGCCCGGTCCCTCTCTCCCTATATTTCCCTTTCTACATATTCCATATTCCCTCTCCTATTCCGGCGGCGACCCAGATTAAAACAGAGCTTAAAAGATTCCCAGATTCCTTCCCCTTCCCCTCCCCCTTTCCTCCTTTTTCCCATCTCCTCCTCCTCCCTCCTCCCTTCAGTCTCTCCCCCATGCTTCCCTGTGGTTAGCTGCTCTCCACACTGAGCATTATACATATATAAATGTATATATTGCACTCTATTCTGGCCTTCCACATATGTGAAGGTCCTGAGATTTAACACAGGATATAAATTAGCACATGGACACCATAAGATTACAATAACATGTTGAGGAGAAGTTGTTCGTCTGGTTATAATCAGGCTTTTGGAGTCACAGATAACTTTTATTATGTAATTAAGATACAAAACCATTTGCTGTCATGTGACTGGCGGTAAATACAGTTTCTGATTCAAATTATTAAGCATAATGTGCATTTTTTATCTTCAAAAACCCAAATACAACGGTCAGTTAGATAAGCAATTATGCGTTGATATTGTGAAATATTGGATGGATGTCTTTCAGGAAGCAGCTAACACTTAAACTGGGAATTCCTTGGCTTGTCAGTGTTTTCAATTATAATGCAGCATCTACACTCACTACTTTGACTTTTAACATTTTATCCGTTTGCTTCGATTTTAGCATTATTAGCATGTTGATGTAGCCGTGATCAAGTGATTCTCACAGTCGTACAAGTGATGACCGACCTGATCCCATTGTTGACGTTTTGTATGGATGTCCTGAAGCCACTGATACTTTCTTCTTCTGTCTTTTTTTCTAAGTGAAAGTAAAGAAAATGGAAACTTGGGATATCTTTTGTTGTCTGATGTGCAACACACACCATAGCAGCTTTAAGACATGATAAAACAAATTGTTCTGCTTGGTGCCAAGTCTTTGTTTTCACTCAAACTCACAATGATTGAATCTAACAAGTTATATGTGTGTGTATGAAATTCTGATGCTTTGGAGCTCTATTGTTTTCCAAAAACCATGAAATCAATGAGCAAGACTGTAGGCAGGGAAACGGGTTTCAGGGAGAGTGGCTGTACCCGTAGGATAGAAAAGGGGGAAGTGACGTCTGACTCAGAGGTCGCGCGGCTGTGGAGAAGAACGTGTTGCCCACATTCTGTTACTGAGTTTAGGCTAGTTAGCTAGCAGGTTTATTGTTTTGGGTGCTGTCACTTTTGCCTCCACTTGCTGTTCAAATAAATGTTGAAAGAAAAGGAAATCTGTTTACAGTTCTGTTTTATANTTGCTTCATAAACTTGTTGCACAAATACTATGAACTACTTTTACTGTGTACTTTTTGAGAATGGCAAAATTCCCTCCAGAGAACAAGAAGGAGCATTTTCGTCTAACTTTGATGTTGGATAAAAAACATTTCTTCCATAAGTAGTTTATGAGTCTGCCATGTTTGTACTTAATACTTCTTAGACTACTTGCAAACATAATATGAACTACTTTTACTTTTTCAGTAATTTGAGTTTCAAAGGGGTGGGCCGTTTTGATAGGCTACCTATGTTCTATCTATCAGATAGTTTCACTTTCACACATCAGGCCCGTAGCAGCGAACGATCAGGAGTGAGTGACTGAGAGACCTAGCTGGCAGTTGATTACAGATGGATAAACAAGCTCCAAAAGCGTAAAGGCGTTTTTGTATAGTTTGTGTACTGTATACAGTATTGTAGCGAGCCCTGGGTTCAGAGGGAGGGGCTTGCATGGGGGGTTGGCAGGGAAACGGGGTTCAGGAGGAGTGGCTGTACCCGTTGGATAGAAAAGGGGGAAGGGACGTCTGACTCAGAGGTCGCGCGGCTGTGGAGAAGAACGGGTTGCCCACATTCTGTTACTGAGTTTAGGCTAGTTAGCTAGCAGGTTTATTGTTTTGGGTGCAGTCACTTTTGCCTCCACTTGCTGTTCAAATAAATGTTGAAAGAAAAAGTAAATCTGTTTATATGGGTGTTGAGAGATGTATCCATAGATTTAGTCCCTAATTTTGCTCTCAAAGTGCACCAGATTGATGCATTTAACTTCAACATTTAAAAAAAAAAATCTTCCCGGGGAGCTTGCCCCCGGACCCCCCTAGAGGAGGTTAGGTCCACCACCTGCCCACAGCCCCTGCTAAATTGTCTCACCCACATTGAGGATGCTTCTTACGCGCATGTTTTATGTGTCAAGTCAGGCAAATTGGGTCCAAATGTTATTGCATCAATGATCTGTTAACATTAAAATCACTAAATATATGCTGCAACTATTTTTCTCCAGGCAACTCAGGGGCTCAGGTAATGTGATTACTATATGAATAATGGTCCAAAATAACATAAAATGCATAGGGTTTTTTGTTAAATAACATACTTTCGTCGCCAGCCAGCCGATACATGCCGCGCATTAAGTGGGCCTGTTTGTCAATTAATCCCCGGGCCACTTTTTCCCCCCAGTCCGCCCCTGCTGGGAACTAAGTACGGCAAAGTACTTGGTGTGAAAGCGGCTCTGATAAGGGTAAAATATTCGTATTACCTTTTCCTCTTTTAGATGCAATCATTTTCCTCAGGTTTACCTTCGATGGTTTCTGAAAGACAGCATAACAATTGAAGGATAGAACAAAATTCAGGAAAAACTCAGTCTACAAGAAGAAAAGGAACAGCAACCAACCTTTTCAATTAAAACGGATTCATCGTCATCATCTGATGAAGCCCATTCATCTGCAGCACTCTTTGAAACCCTGAAAAGGTAAGAAGAATGGTTTGAGCCAGGACGGCGATGGTAATTCTAGGTTATAATCCACAAAAAGAGAACTGTGCTTACCGACTTAAAGACTCCGACTGAGAATTGTCTTCAAAATCTGCAAGAAAACCGAGCAGCTTAGGTTCAGCATCAGGTGGATACATTTTAGGAAGGCATGTCATTTTTTTATATATTATCTGTCAGTCAAATAGAGACAAGGAGAGCATGTCATTCTTTAAAAGCAGAAACAGTTTGGTGCACGAGGCGCTACAAATTAAGAAGCATAAACATCCATCTTTAGGGACTTATTGATCAGTACTGTCACCAGACTGACAGCATTTGACTGGTTGAACTATAAAAGCTCGTCTAAGCAAAGTTATACCTCCCCCTGCTTCATTTGCTCGGTGCTCTAGATCCAGTCAAGAGGTAATGCATGAGGAGTAAATCAAATAATCAAAGTCAATAATAATTACAAACAACCATAATATCCTCACACCACTCTTATTGATTATTATGTGATAAAAATGCATCTCCCTACCATCTTTATCAATGGCTGGTCCTCCCAAAGAGAAGCCCGCTTCAATGTTTTGGGAAGGACTACCCAACACGGTCTTCTTCTTGCTCAGCCCTTGATTTGATATAGAGGGCCCTTCATTCTTCTGGGTACTGTGCTCAATGATCAGGAGGGAACATCTACAAGAGAGTCAAGACAATGATGTAAAATGTCCGAAGCCTTAAAAAGTAAAAGTTTTAAACTGTAAAACTAAATTGTTTCCTAATGAATAAACAAACACAATTATCCATTTGAGAGATTTGGTAGTTTGTTCCAGTTTTGCACTCCACAGAGACTCCACAAATCCATGAACTGCAAAATAAATACCACTCTAGGGAAATATGTGCAAAGAAAATAATCAGAGCTTACGGATGATGCCCATTCATCACAGCGTAATCATCGGCTGACCATCCTTTGGTATCCTTTATTGTGATATCGGCGTCAAACCTCAGAAGCATCCGCAACATACTGATTTGTCCATTGCCTGCAGCTAACATTAAAGCGGACCTGCAGGTTAAAAAAATGATAGCAAAATGAACATTTGTAAACAAAGAATTATGCAACATTAAAGGTAGAAATGGAGAAACGTATGACAAATAAAGAACCTTGAACCTTGAACCAGCTCGAGTGCGCTTGAATTTGAAAATACACAACCGGAAAAAATCTGCCCCTTCCTTCAGACTTCCTTACAGAGCCCCTCCTCCAACACACACGAACGCGCACATGACCAATGAGGGCACGAGATAAGTTTGTGCATAGATGGAAGGCTGACAGGCAGGTAGGCCATCCAGATATTTTAGCCGGGCCGGCTCAGATGATTGGTCGTGCTTTTTACAGCACTACGGCTTCCACAGATGAAATTTTTTTACGGATTTATTGTCAAAGCATTTAATATATTCATTGCTATCGGGATGTTAAGAGCATTCCATGGAATATAACAAAAAGTGTATCTGAAGTGAATTACCTACCCCACCTTTAAGGTTATTGGACATGCTTAAGAAATGTCTCATTGTTCAGTACTGACCTTTGGCTTTGGTCCATGATATTTATATCAGCCCGCTCTTTGAGGAGAAATTCAGCCATCTCGATATGGTCCTCACGGACTGCCACAATCAAGGGTGTGAATCCCTCCTAAATATGAGATCACAGTCAACAACTATATTTTTTTCATGAATGTATCAACAGAACAGCAACAACTCATCATACACTGAAACTCAAATATGATAGCTGACAGACACATTTATTTAGTTTTAATATCCTTCTTTATTTTCTAGCATTTGACTATCGCCTACAGATATACCACTGAATGCATACAAAAATGACATCTATCTCCCAGCAAACATTTTGAATTTGAATAGAAGGAAACTCATATATGTGTGGCTTAAAACGTTAATAATGGTTTGGCATGATAAGGGCTGGTAATTATTTTTTCTTCAATCAAGATAACAGGAGTATGCCTAAATATTGTCCAACCACTAGCATCACTACTAAGTTGTGAGCTGTTGTAGACAGAAAGACGGAATCACCTTATTGTGTGCATTGATGTTGGCCTCGTGCTCCAGCAGAGCGATAGTAGTTGACATGGATGGGATGTTTGCCGATAAATGTAGCGCTGTATTGCCATTGATGTCGACCAGGTTAGGCTCGGCATGATTCTCCAGCAGTATTTTGACACAGGAATCATGCTGGCACTGCACTGCCTGATAGAGGTGAGATTGATATGATTGCAGAGGTCAGGCTTTAAACAATGTATGAGGGAAGTAGCAAACTTTGATCATCACAATATATTCAACATAAATGAAGAACCACTCTCTGGTGGAGTCTCATCATCCAGGATTACCTTCATTAGGGCGGATCTATTTTGATTGTCGCATAGGTTAAGCTTGGCTTTGCTCTCAACGAGAAACTGCACCACTTCAGCATGTCCACTAGCACAGGCAATATGAAGCGCAGTTCTGAAATGGTAAATGACAGTGTTTCTCATTAGCGTGCAATCTTTTTCTTACAAAAATCCTTCTACTTAGCTGACAAGGATAATTGTAAGCTTATCTTTAGAGCACCTTGATGAACAGCTGCACTCATTGAGGTGCCTGACATACTGTATATCAATGATGATATTTCACAAGCTATACTGTAACGTGCCTTAAGTAGCAACTCACTTTTGAGACACCAATTGTAAATGGTAACTAGATCCCACTTTGAAACATAAGTAGAAAAGAAACAATGGGGTGCCATGTACATTTTAATTGTTGCTTCAAAAAGACGGCAGTTTGCTGTTTACAGTCAAAAGTACTGAACAACATCATGTCTTACCTATCTCTAATATACAAAGACACGGTTTCAATACTTTTATCAACGATATATCCTAAAGCTGCTACATTATGAAAACTATGGCTCTACTAGTATTGCAATACTATTCTTAAAAAGAGCTTTGTTATTTCAAGAGCACAAGAAATTGATCCATCTGATTGGCTGCATTCATTTTTGGGGAACAGTTTTTGTTTTGAATCAACTCATTTGTTAAACAACGGGATACAGTATTAAAATAGGCCAAGGGTCAATAGTGGACTCTTATACATACCAATTTTAAAAAGAGTGAAAAAATATGGTTAAACATAATGTGTTAAAAGAGATATACAGTAGAGAAGTATATCTAATACAAATAAAATAACAATTATTAAGAAATGCATGTGGACTATATTACCAGGGTTAATAAGACATACTGTACAACTTCAAAGATGTGACAACAAGTGCTTCAAAGCCACTTACCTGTTTTCCTTGTCAAGTTGATTGATATCATTCTTTTTGGCGAGCTGCCTCAACTTTGCTAGATCACCCCCTGATGCAGCCTTGTGAACCTTCCCGAGGTCCTTGTCTTTCAGGTCATAGCCAACAGAAAGCACACTCCCATTGTCAGGAGTACCGGATGGGTGTTTCTTTTTCTTGGTGAAGTTGAATATTTTCTTCATTGTGCACAGCGGCACAACATTGCTTTTGCACCGTCACTAACGTTACCTGCCACTCATGAGGCTGCGGAGGATCACCACAGGCGGCTGTCCCATCCCTAAAAATAAAACGTGCAAAGCGGATTAGAACTATAAGTCTATAAAACAGTGCGGTGTTTCTTCAACAGCGTTAAATAAGTCCCACAAACACTCTTCCTCATACAGAAATATACAGTGAAACAACCTAGCTGTAGTGCACATGCGGTGCAAGTAATCAACTAATGCTACTAAGCATAACATTAAGTATCTAATTACCTTAATGTAGCTCGAGGTGACTGTAAAAACACAGCTGTCATGCTAACGACAGTAAGCAACACGGACCGTCATTTTATTATCCATACCTGAAACAAGGACGTCCTCTGCGTTATTTAGCAGCAACGCATATCAACGTTTCACTTGAGCCATGTTAATGCTATTACGATGCACAGAACCGAGCCCGTCCAAATTGTCAGACGTTACTCGGCGTTGGTTATAGCATCTCTATAGATCTTGTATCTTGTTACTATGGTAACTGTGCAAATGGTATGCTAACGTAACGCTAAATACCAAAGGTTATCCTATGTTGCTAATGCTAAGAACTCAATAAACCTACTGTTTTTTTAAATTCTGTAACGGAACACTCACTGCAACACATACTACGCTCATATAAAATAAAAAAGCTTGAGTTTTGGTCAGTGTCAAAAGCTATATTCTGGATTAGTTGTTGCCTAGCAACCTAACCTCCGTTGGCTGCCTCCCACGTCGTCACTTCACAAATGATGCAAACCGCCACATTTAAAAATGGATTTGTAGCAGAGACAAGAACAGCTGGGATTGTCGCTGCAGCTTCAGTTTACTAAGCAAAGACTCGGTTTGGTTCAAAGACACTTGTGCTGTCCTTCCAACAAGAGTGAAGGACTCTTTAGCTAATGCTATCCTGATGTGAAACAGACTTAACCCTGCTAAATCAATGCTAATTAGCAAACTCCACACATCAGAACCGAAGTGAGTAATACCAGCTAGGTTACTAAGAAGTATACAGTTAAGACGAATAAAAAGGAATCAAGTAATGTTTTAAAGCTAAGCATTACGCAAGCATATGTGTATACAGTACTGCTTATTAACTTAAGCACTAACCTGTTGATAGTCGGAGTCAGAACACTACAGAGAGCTACGCTAACGAAAGAAAACTGACAAAAACATGCTGGCTGTTTGGGGTTAGAATGAACCAATCAGATACGAGTTCACGGTAACGAGTAACCAATAGGCGGCCTCTGTAAAAGGTTGGTTGACCAGTCACGGAGGGTTGTTGGAAGCGAAGGTTTGTTGTGCAATGTCAAAAGTGTACCGCTTGATGGTGACATTTGTCTTGAAATCTTATGTTTGCAGTGTAGATAACACTTTAGCTCCATATATTTTCTTTGGACAAATTATCAATTGTTATGATAAAAGAATGCAGGCAGGGGCTCACATCCAAACCTTAAAATGTAAAATGGTTGTAAAGTCTGCTGTCATATTGTAATATATTTCTAGTGTACAGCAATGAACAGAAATACTCAATATAATGCAATCCAATTCAACCTCAGTATATGCACTCAAAATGCCATTAAATTGAATTAAGACATCTTTGACACACATTGTGTTAATCTTTATGCACAAGATCTCCTTCTACCCTATAGGGAAAAGGGTTGTTATATTCAGTGAGCCATATGACTTTCTTTTCCTTTTTACAGCTGCTTAAAGCTTCAGAAGATACTCAGTCAATGTTCATAGTTGATGTCCATGACCATGACAGCCATCTATGCCTCTATCCGATAATGTGTTTAAGATTGTTTTGGTGGCAGGGGGTTGCCTTTCTCTGACAGTTGATGGTCTACAATGGGGGAGTGAGAATGTGACATTTGACAAAGCTTCAAGGGCTGGAATTGAACCTCGGACATCGCGGTTATGTGGAATGCACTGCAACCACACAGGAGACAAGTCCCTCCCCATGTTCTACTTTTTAAACTGTGATTTGAGATGTTTCGAGGCCTCATGTGTATCTCTGTTTCCAGAAAAGCAAGTTTTTTTTATACACATTTTTTGTTGTATTCTCCCCTGTCTATAGGCTACTGTCTTGCCAACATGGTATTTTAATTTTATACAAATCAAACAATCATTTGAGAGCAGCGTTTATTTCCAAGTGTATATAAGAATATCTCCTTTTAATGTCAAATTGAAATTATTATAATTATGATGATTCATTTATTGCTTTTCACAAAGTCTACAGATAAGATGTAGTGTGACATGAGGGAAATGATTCAGTCGTGCTTTGCATGCTAAATGATGTAGAAACCAAGTGGGAATGATGCCACTAAGTAAGAACAATTAAAAGGTGTGAGATAGCAATATGACTGCTATATACAGTACAGGGTGAGAATTGCAGCTAGAGTAAGTACTGTAAGAGTCTATAGCGAGATGACAAATACAATCCAACCCTGACTGGCTCTGTTCAGGTGTCAAATAACTATACCTTATTTAGAATTATAATTTAACAAAATAGTACAGAGCAATACAATAAAGATAATTAAACTGGCACAAGGTACTTTCTTTCACTTTCTCAGAGCACAGTCGATCAAAGCATCATTGTTAGAAATGTATTCGAGTTGCAAAGAGCAAAGTAAGGAAATGTATATTATGAGTTACAATTTCCTAGAGATTCAGAGATTAAGAGAGTTTTTGATTTGAATATTTTCTAACCACAGGATCGTAAGACATGTATCACTGACAAAAATAGTATATAAATAAGTCTACAACACAGGATGTACCTATCTTAGACCACACCGATTGTTGAGTGATGCCTGCATTGTCCAGGTCCAGGTCCACTGAGTTCACACCCTGTTGCGAGAGGAAATATCGAGTCAACAATCCATGCTTGTGACGCTGTCGGTTGCTGGGATCTGGGATATTTTTAAGCTAGGATCAATGAGCCTGACTCATATGTCAATTCAAATCCCAGGTGCTTGTTATATGTGAACCATTAACCAATTTTTTTTGACAGCCAATTGTCAAGAGGCTGAGTAAAAGTTCAAAGCAACAGAAAAAAAAAATCTAAAAAAAAAAAAAATCTATATTCCGTCTTTATTTGTGAAACAAGCGCTGACACAGAAATGTTTCTTGTCTTTGCAGGTCTTTTGCAGATTATAGATGACAGGCAATTATCTTGGTTGGAGCCCTCCGCCACTGCAAATAAGATGTTTTGATGTAATACTAAGCTAGACTTTCTAAGCCACCAATCCTTGTTGCAAAAAGAGTAGTTACTTTGTTGTTGCAACACTTGCTCAAATTGTCACTTTTCTCGGTTTGGAGCAATTGTATGAGGAGTTGTTTCAAAACCAACTAGCCAGCCATCTCCCTCTGATGTTATATTGTGTCCTGTCTACCTTGATTTTACTTTGATTTGAAGGTACAAACAATCCCCACTAAAATGTATACTATCATTAAAATACATGATAGAATGTATAACTAGTAAATTGTAAAAAACTCCATCTATCAAAAACACTTATGACGTAAATTGCTAAGAAGATTGATATTGTGGTTGTTGGAAGTAAAATAAGACAGAATAGTATTTCTGGAATTCTTATCATCTGGTCATTCTCTCAAAGAATGTAACGAAACATATCTTGGCTAACGATTGTCAAATGACTCATCAGATGATAAAGATATCAGAAGTTATTATGCTAACTTGTAAATTCACAATTTGTTTATATTTAAAGCATTTTGTACCCAGCTATATACTGCTCACTTGTGGTGTAATTATAGAAGAAGCATGTAGACACTTATCGTGGCCTATCACGATGATGACTTCAACTTCAACAAAGTGAAGTGCCATAATAAGAGATCTTATCTTATGATGTATGTGCAGGCTTTCATACATGTTATTATTCTGGCCTAGGCTGTATTTGTTGTGTGTTTTGTTTCACATTTAGTGTGCTATGCATTCCCTCTGTGTGTCCTTTATAAGGTCATTCTTATTGTTATTATTAATACACCTGAGGTTAAAGGAGATAACATCACGAGTGACTATGAAGCTTTGTTAAATATGTCTCATATATATTACACATAAATGTAAGTTTGTGTAGAGTATGGCTCTAATCCCAAACAATATCTGTGTCCCCTATCCTTTTTGTTGCCTGCCTCTCGGCCCTTTACCGTAGGATGCTTTATTTGTTCCCCCAGTTTTATTAACATTCCCATCCAGTCCTGGTATGTAACAGACATAAAACTGTGTTCATTTAATCTTTTCATCATTTCAACAGTCATATTAGGTTATTTAATGTTCATTCAGGGTTTGATCTTATCTGCAATATGATTTATATTGTCATCTTATTCTAATCATCACATCATCACAGTACTGTGCTTTATCTGTACCAATAAACTCAACAGACTGATCTCCTCCTCTGTCCTGATGTAAACTTTGATCAGCTCATTGATGTCCTTTTACGGCTATACTGTGCGGTATACAGTCTAAGAAGAATCTACAACCACACTGCTAGACATGTCAGTTAAAAAATAAGAGTGTAAGCTCATGGTGCTGGAGGAAACGTCAGACGTCAGTTGGATTTATCCTCCAGAGTTCATAAGTCCCTTAGAAAAGGTAAACAAGACAGGGGTTTGCATATGTCCAACTCATTTATATTTATCGTGCTTATTTAAAGAGGCCAACTACATAAAATAACATAACAACTTGAGCTATTCCAGTTATCTGATAGTGTTTATTGAAAAACACCTTGAACATCAACTTCATACAGTTGCAACACACAAGTGTTTTCCTGCCAAAACACCGCCTCACAAGACTGAGCTGTCTCTCACAGGGAGCTAATCCACACCTCATCAAACTGACTGACAGTCCACAAATGGTCCCTTACAAGAGCGGTGAAAGGTGTTAGTGTTAGCGCTGGATATTGGGCATGGGCAGAAGAAAAACGACATTCACAGAGGAATTACGGATCATTAACCTTTTCAGTGATTCATAGAGTGAGTGAATGTGGAGGGAAAGAGAGGCTTGCCTTGGTGGGTGATTATTTATAAATGCATCTCAAAAATAACATATTGAGTATGCATGGCCACATTCAATATACTTTAATCTTACATCATCTATGTCGATATGCAGATGGATTTTGGTCCTTATAGGGAAACTGTTTCTGTTTCCACAAGAAAATATTTGCATTTGTCACGTGATCTTTAATGTATGTTTCCTGCAATTGAACGCCCAGCCACTTGACTTCATGCCTATAGATTTCTGTCACACGCCATGAATAGTGACATTAAACTGGAAATTGGGAACTCACAGGGGAACAATATTCCCATACGTTTTCCTTTTGCTCTGAGGCAGTTGGGTTTAAAGCAGGAAGTCCATGATGTCCTTTATGTGAACTATTTGCTGTTTTTCATTCGAGAGCTGAAGTCTTTCATGTTCTTTTTGTGGTACGGTTAATTTAAAACAACTCAAGTGGCTTCAAGGTTAATGCCACTTTATGTGTTTGCTTTGAATGGGGCAAGCTTTAAGGAAGTGCATGTCGAAATATCCTTTTCCTCAAATTGTCTCTTATTGCTCCCCTCTGACCCCA